TCGCAAAACGGCATGCGCCGCACTGCATCCTTTTTCCGTTTGAATGTTCAATTAAAAGCGCGGAATTTAAACGAGATTTCTGAACAAACTCGCACAAACGATCTATAGGCGGAAAAACGTATTGTTACGTCCTGGGGACTCCACGGGCCCCTTTTTCTTGCAACGTGACGCGCCGACATACAATAAATTCCCTTTTTTTCTCAATAACTAACACGAACGGACTCGGACTTCGACGCGATAGACGCGCAAATAGAAAAAAAGAAAGAAACGATTACAACCCGTTGTCGCGATTTACATATTTGCTGATACTCTATCCCTTCGAACAAATCGTCACGTTTTAAAGCATCGAGCTCGGCTCAACACCGTGACCTATAAAATCGAGGTGATAGAACAACTTCATAGCGTGGTGATATTTTCCTTTGTTAAACAGTTCGCTTTCTATGACTAAAAATCGCATATGGAATAGCACTCATATATTAGACGATGCGGTACAGCCAGTCTATTGTTTTTGCACAAGACGATGTTGCGTACGACTTGGCAGATGTTATGCAAACACATGTATCGATACATCTGTTGTGAACTGAATCTCATGCCGCAACTCAAATCCACGCGCAAGCTTACACCGAAAAAATTGTGTTCTTGTTTTGAGGATATCCCACTTACTTTAAGTATGTTTTATTATATCCGAAATACTCGGTGTTATAGACCCGGTGTTATATAACAAAACGATTTGTTAGTGAAACTAACAAATAACCCATCAAAACACTGTATTTTCCGTGATTATTTACAAAAACATTTACTAGAACACAGAAGTGTAACAAAAGAAAAAAGTTTTTTAAATAAAAAATATTTAATAATAATATTTAATAAAATTTTTTTAAATAAAAAATATTTAATATAAAAAAACTTGGCGCGGCTGCACCGAAAACTATATTGAATTAAAGTTTACTCTGATATTATAGCTACTCAATAGTTTTTTTTATTAACCATACAACAAAGTACGTACTTTTCGAACTCTTTTGATGAAATAACATTATTTTCTTTCGACAAAACTCATCTAACGGTGATTCTCAAAAGTATCGAAAATTAGTTGAAGAACTCTCATAATTGCTACACTCTTGTAGCGCTATGCTAATTGATTTATTCTAAAATTAAATTTTTATATGTGAAGTACATAAATAGCTCATGTGTGCTAGTGTGTGTGCTCTGTTTTTAGTTTTTGGTGCAGCCGCGCCAAGTTTTTTTACATTAAATATTTTTTATTTTAAAAAATTTTACATGGGTTTTTGACTTTTCACACAAAGCGAAATCTATATGATTCGACATAGTTTAAGATTGTCCACGCAAGGCGAGGTCATTTCTTACATCGATGAGTGCTTTATATACAAAGTACACTGATCACATAATATTTTAAACTTTCTATTGTTTTGGAATATTTCATATTTTTTATTTTAGAACGTATAAACAACTTACAAATATAATATTTTATATTTTGCAACAATATATAAATATATAAGATTTTACTTATAATGTATAAATATACAAGATTTTACTGGCGCTACTTATTGATATCATTTCTTTTGTAGAATAGATTTTGTAGAGAAAGATTTTTATAGCAATATGTTTTCTAGAGATATACAAGTTGCGCATGTACTTGACGCCTTTTTTTACTTTTTTTTGAAAAGGTATTTTGTTCGGGATATCACACATTTTTGTGGAATATGTTTTTGACAAACACTTCTTTCAACACAATACAATGTATTTCTACATAATAACAATAACGTATAATAACAATAACAAAATAATACGTATAACAAAGTGTTGAAAGTATTTCCATTAAAAAAATTGTTTTCTGTGACTTCTAATCATATTCGGCAAGAAATTTTTGCTATTGTTTTTATCTGACGCAAAAGTATTATAAAATGGTTACTTATTATAAGCAATTTTAAATATTTTTTTTATTTGAGAGAGTTTGATTTTTCTTAATTTTTTCCAAAAAGAGTATGTAAATATTTTTAGCGCCTCTAGGCCATTTTGTTTTATTAATTGTCCCACCATAAACTTCAATTCAATTAGATATTCCTTCTCGACATGTACTTATACTCGTACATATATATACATACATAGAAATCATCACTACTGACGACAAGAGAAAGGGCACGTTTTGCTCTGTCGGTGAAGTCGCGCATTAACTGTCCGACGATGACGACCACGTTTCTTAATTCTTATAAAACCTAATTTTTCGAGATTTTGGACTTTGTAGCGAGATATCTCCGTTGGGAAGGCACGGACGAAAAAAATTGTGAAATACTTTTTGTCGTGCCTCGATCTCAACTTTCAATCGAGTCTAGGCCGAACTCGATCGGTTTAGCCGTTGTTGAGATCGAAAAATCTCGAAAAGGCTCTCGGCTAAATCTCGCCTATAAGAGGCACGGGCAGAGATGCCAGATCGGAGACTCAGTAAGCATGCAACAGCAAGTGGAGGGGATACGCACACACGCGACAGCCGTGTCCGTGTGCGCTCGGCGCTTCGGCCAATGGTTGGCCAACCACACGGACACGGCTGTCGCCTGTGTGCGTATCCCCTCCACTTGCTGTTGCATGCTTACTGAGTCTCCGATCTGGCATCTCTGGGCACGGGGTATCTCGCGCAGCGCGCGCGCACTTCGTTTGCGCATATACTTGGCGCGAGGCACTACCGTGCCTCTTGATCTATTCAATATCGTTTTTTTATCGTATATTGGTTTTTAATATAATAACGTACAAAAGTTTACTTGGGTGCTACATTTTGATATCACTTTTTTTGTAAAACATGGTTTTAAAGAAAGAAGGTTTTGTAGTATTTATAAAAAAGTTTTTCGAGAAAAAGAAGTTTACAACACACCGCAAAAGCATCAAATATCACAATTTTTTTACTTCTCATAAAAGGACAGAATAAACAAAAACACAATTGGTTTTACATTTTACACGTAAGTTTAGTTTTTTTTTTCTTTATTTAGCTTTTTATTCATTTTTATACATTTTATTGTATTTTTGTACGCATGTTGTATTTCTGCGATTCTTTCTGTAATATATAATATACAATTCTTAAAATATATTTTTGTTGAATCTTTTTTGCATGCAAAATATAAAACTGAATATTATTTAAAATAGTTTAAAAATGTACTTAGAAAAATGATTTATTGTCCTGGGTCTTTAGTGTGTGTACAAGTAGAGAGATTGTGTTGGTCCAATTCATTTTATAGTTGAATTTTATAGCACATTTCTGAAAGCATTTTTTCAAAGTGATTAAATTGTTCACTACTGCTTAAAATTAATCGAAAAAATATAACAAAAAAAAAGCCTAAAAATCAAAGTACAGTTTAGCGAAAAATCGAGAATTAATAGTTTTGTTACAAAAAACCATTTTACTTTTTGTGTTTTCACGAAAGTCTAAAAGTTTTTAGATTTTATGTAAAAAAATAGCACACATAGCAAATATTATTTAATATTTCTGAAAAAACTTACACTGCACTTAAACGTGTCATTTGGTTGATTATTATTTTGGTTGTTCTCTGGATCACATATTGTCTTCGTCATTTTTTGGTAAGAAAATTTTGGAACAAAATTGCACAGTATATTAGACGAGTAAAAACTAAATTTCAAATAAAATTTACACTGATAGTTTTGTTAGGTTCTTCAGAATCTTACAATACAAGTTGCCCCTCCCACTGTCTTCAAAAAGATGGTTGAATAGCCAATAAGAAGCAAACCTGTGTCTTGAAGAGAGTAATGAATTTTCTTTACAAAATTTGAAAGAAATTTAATTAAAAAATTCATATCTATATATATATATATATTCACACAAATATACATATATGTGAATATATATATATGTATATATACATATATATACAGGGTGTCCCCTAATTGCCGTCTCACCGTTTGTAGACAGATAGAAGGGGTTATTCTAAGACAAAAAGTCTTATACCACTTTGGAAGATTCGCAATAATTAACGAAATATTAATTAATAAAGATCCGCTAATCAGCGTGCATCCAGCGTAAGGACAACCCAGTCTATCGCACCGTAGCGACGTACGAAAAGTACGCAATGAATCCAGGCGCGCGCAGCTCGCGGTATTATACTTTTGAAGTGTATTGTACCACAATAACTCCCTTAAGAGAAGGCGAATCNAAAGTCGGCACTTCGCACCGAATTTGCCAGTGACGGAACGGGGATGAATAGCCTTGTATTTTTTTGATACGCGCGTACGTATCGATAAGTTTCAATCTTGGCGTCTAAACTTCTTGAAAGTACGCCTTCTCGACTAAACTATTAATTAATAAAGATCCGCTAATCAGCGTGCATCCAGCGTAAAGACAACAACCCAGTCTATCGCACCGTAGCGACATTCAAAAAGTACGCAATGAATCCAGGCGCGCGCAGCTCGCGGTATTATACTTTTGAAGTGTATTGTACCACAATAACTCCCTTAAGAGAAGGCGAATCGAAAGTCGGCACTTCGCACCGAATTTGCCAGTGACGGAACGGGGATGAATAGCCTTGTATTTTTTTGATACGCGCGTACGTATCGATAAGTTTCAATCTTGGCGTCTAAACTTCTTGAAAGTACGCCTTCTCGAAAGTCATGCTTGATACGCGATTATTATACAGAGTGATCTGCTTCAACCCCTCTCTTACGATTTATCTAAGATACCTAAGAATCTACAAATTTACGAAAGCAAACAATCTACGATAAAATACCTCATAAAAAAATATGTAGCAGAAAAGACAGTAAATTATATAGTTTCTTCAGGTTGCTCTCACAATAATTGGTATAATTATTGAAAATAAAATAATGTTCTCGAAATTTTTGGTCAGGAGTTTTTTTTAACACGTAATATTGATTTCGCTTTCGATATCTTATACCGCTTAGTGTTTTCTTACATTAGATGTTTTTTTTTTCAGTTACGTGCACACATAGTGTCTATTAGCGTGAGACACAATGATATGCTTTTCTCGAAATTAACAGACGTTGTTATTATACACACATTATAATGTCGCCTGTGAAAACGCAGCTGAAAAGCATCCATTTTATTATGCGTTTTAGTTACATAGCAAAAGATAGAGTTTTTGTAATTTATGGTGCATTATCTTTGATTTTAGTGGGGATTACGAAAGATAACATTCTTCAATATTTTTTTAATATTATCAGAAAGATACCTACTGTCTTTGCCTCGCTGCGCTCTCACAGATTACGTAATTCAAAAACAAATGTTATACATATTTTTTATTTCTATAACGATCACGCTCGGTTTAGTGCAATTCAGCAGGGCGCCGACGTCCAAGACGTCCATAGATCGTTTGAAAGTCATAGAACGGTTCATAAAGCGTCTATGTGTGTGTAAGGAAAGGGGGAAAAACGGTAGCGTGCGCGGGTTCGAATTTCCATTACTGTTCTAGGACCGCCTTTTCGACGGTTTTGACTATAATACATAGATATAATAATACTATGCCATATTTTCGATAGGTCAGTTCCATCTCGTCTTCTTTTCTTTTCTCTTTTTCGAAATCCTCGTCTCTGTTCTCTTTCCGTCTTCAATGCCTAGCATCGATGATGCCAGACTTTTGGTAGCACGGTAGCATGGAGGGAATACCGCTCTTTATACTGGGTACGTGTGTGCTTTATACTTTATACGTCCTCTCCACGTTCTGTTGCAAACGTCTCAAAACTGGCATCTCTGATCCCAACAAGTAACTGCAAAATAGTAACTGTTTTGTAAGTTTGTACTTACTTTGTATTGTTAAAAATACTGTTGTTGACCTTCAATATCTGTTCGTTGAATTCTGTCAGTTATAATTTAAACTTGGATGTTATTCACTAAAGCATATGGCGGAAAAAAAACGAACATTCTATTTGTACTCTTCTAGAATTTATACACTTTACTTTACTTCTGCACATGTATTTAATTAAATCACATTAGGCAATGGTAAATGTCTTAATATGATGTCGCGCGAATATCAATTCAAATAATATTTATCTGTATTTATTTATTATCTGTATTAATTTATTTTTGAAACACATTGATGGCACCGTATTATTTAAACAAAACTGCGACGAAACAACAATGTCGTCTGTACTGGTTTTTATTTTTATTTTGTTTTTTGTGTTTAATCGCATTTTATGCACGCGAGATTTTTTTATATATATCATATAGATGTTGACATTAAGAACTGACTTCATCGCCTTGCAATGAAGAACTGAGTTCAATATTGGTCATACGTACCCATGTTGCCAGTAACCGTAACAAACAAAGTCAACCAATCATAGATCAGAACGTCATTTTCCCTATATATCGTATACTATTATACTACTATATTAACTACTAATTAGATAAAACAATAGGAAAAACTATAAAAAGACAAGCTTATATATTACAAAATTCACTTTTAGAACTTTTACTGAAATTTAAAGTTTACATTACATAGATTTTCAGTACTGGTAGTAAATTTTGTAACTCGAAAATAATAGATTAGAGGCGTTACGTAATTAGGTTAAAAAAATCGTACAAACTCGCACAAACCATTTATAAAGTGTAGTAATCGATACATCGATACATCGATATCGTTACTACAATCGAATGTCATCCTAGCAACCGATACATAATCATTCAATTATTCTCAACAACTATTCTCTTGTTCAATTATGTATCTTCATTCATTCCAAGTTTATTCTTGTAACCATTCACACGTTTAATAAACCGACTCAAGTTTTGTAAAAGAACAAAGTTAGTTTAATTTATTTCGTGAGTGAATAAACATAACAGTTTTTGGCGACGAGGATTATGGAATCGACCATCTATGCCCATATTTGGACTTCGTGCGTCTCCCTTTCTCGGGCCTCGTGCCTCTCATTGCGAAGATACGCGACTAGCAATATAGGAGTATTACATATATGGTCTACAAGAGGTTTGGCCCAATGATTCACGCCAATACTTTGCGACTTGAGATTTCGGAACTTTCTCCGTTACTGGATTATCATANGAATAAATCCCTTATAAATCTTACAGCTCAAAAGTGGGATATTGAAGGTAAACTATAATTACCATTTTGCCTTTGTTCTCGAGATACAAGTGAATAACGGCTGTAACCGCCATATTGTCTTTTTCTGAGGAAATCCGCCATTTGGTAGCAAAAAGCTTCTTCTTTTCCCTATTCGCGTGTTTCGCTGCGATGAATAAAGTATTCTTGGAAAAACTCTCAAATATATATTTTTTAGTAATTTATTAAGTCTTATATTTCTTTTACGTTATACAAAAATTCTATAATTTTCATATGTAATAGAAACGCCTTCCTTCCATAGCAATAAAAACACGTTTTTTGCCAGCTTTTTTCTTCTTGTGCTGTTGTTTCATCGGTATAAATTCTGGGGAAATTCCTGTATCCTGAAAAAAATTTTACTTCTTTATTAAAGTACATATATTTATTATATATTATATTATATATTATGTATTATGTATTTATTGAAGGTTAATATGCATTTAAGGTTACACTTCACCGATTTTGATGGGCTTTAGATATGTTGTAGGGCAGATACTAAGTAATTATTCAAAAAACTTTCGCGGAGGACAGTCTTGGTTATATACATATGACAATTTCAAGTTTCAGAATTTTAATGCTTTGCTCTAAAATAGAAATTAATAAATTTTCTTGTTGATAGTAAAGATATTTATGGACATATTATAATTGTTTACGGTGTGGAACAGATGCGACTTTAAANCGCGAACGTATGCTTTTTATGCATTTACCAAACGTATACAAGCGTTTTTTTGATATTATGGCAAAACATTATCCGCCCTCAATATAAGAAAAAAATAAAATATCTGTAAATAATCATTCTTTTTTTCTTATTTCGTTATTGCATAGGATCCAAGTAAATGTCGCTGTATGTCGAAAGAGTCTACATGATTTCTCGAAGGAGGGGGAGCAAGGATAGAGGCAAAGCCACTTCCCCTGCGGGGGAGCGAAACCCCCCCCTGTGCCTACACGCTTACACGAACAAAAAGAACATAAAAGTAGTAATTAATAAAAAATCTTAGGCTCTGAGGTTTCTAAACGCGAAATATATAAACAGCAATAAGAGCCGTACGCTAGATGTTGTTGCGGAAATATTTATATACATATATATGTATATATATTTCCCGCGCCGGGCTGTCTTAAGGGCCTTCTACAATAAGATATTAGTAATAAATCAGAAGTCAGAAGCAAGAAATTGACCAATCACAGTCAAATCACAGAAGAATAATCGATTGTGATTAGTTAATTTCTTGCTTCTGACTTCTAATTTATTACTAATATCTTATTGTAGAAGGTCCTTTAGGCGTCGTCTACAATACAGTCGTAAGCCGTAAGAAATTGACCAATTACAATCGATTATTCTTCCGTGATTTGTATGTGATTGGTCAATTTCTTACGGCTTACGGCTTACGACTGTATTGTAGACGACGCGCGTGAGACAGCTCGATGCATGTTTATTTGCGGATCTTTGTTAATTAAGATCTCGGTAATTATTGCGAATCTCGTAAAATGGTATAGGATTTTTTAACTCAGTTTTACTCTTTCTACTTTCCTATAAGAGATGTTAAGTAATTGTCGGACATCCTGTATATACTCTAATAGGCACATTTGTGAAAATATTGCACAAAAATGGCATCATGATTCTTACGTCATGAAAAATGCTCGAAATGATGTCGTTTACATCGATGCAACGCTGCAAACGTTGAATTCCTGAAGTGCACTTCTTAATATTTCCGGACTTCGAGTCTAGACCCCGAATATCCCCCCTGATTGATTTAAAATATTGCGAAAAAAACGGTATTCGGTAAACGGGGTTGCTAAATAAAACTACTACGTACTATTAACAATCACGCGAATGTTTGTAATGCGCTACATAATCTCTACGAAATTTGAGTGATCTTTCGATAGAATTTACGACATGCTAACAAATACCGCAATACGTAACAAAATAGCAACAGAAATTTAACTATTGCTTAAGCTTACTGAAAAACTCGCGAATACGTACCTACAATGCATCGCCCGGTGAATTCATTGCTCCAAAAATAATCCAACATGATAAGTGTAGTAATCGATACATCGATACATCGATATCGTTACTACAATCGAATGTCATCCTAGCAATCGATACATAATCATTCAATTATTCTTAACAACTATTCTCTTGTTAAATTATGTATCTTCATTCATTCCAAGTTCATTCCTGTAACCATTCACACGTTTAATAAACCGACTCAAGTTTTGTAAAAGAACAAAGTTAGTTTAATTTATTTCGTGAGTGAATAAACATAACATAAAGAAACATATATCTAACTATCGGAAAAAACTATATATACTATAATAAATAATGAGATAATGAATAATTCTGTTGTTTTCGTTAGCATCTTTGAATTTGATCAAGACTTATTTAGAAATATGTAATAGTTTTTGTCTATGAGTACCAACTTTTTATCTTATTTATCTAAAGGTCTTATTTATAAATCTTATTTATACAGCTGCAACAAGGAATTTACCTTTTTAAAACGATGATGTGTTGTTGATAAAGTGCAATGTCCCTTTTTTCACTTTTCCAGAATTCAACAGCTCTTTTATAGTCATTATTTATAATTTTGCTTTCTAATGTACGACTATCTTCTCTCTCATCTTTATCACCTTTCTTCAAGTTTTTTCATTTCATCAGCTGCAATAAATTTTGCATCGAATACGTTTGAATCTCAATAATTCTCAAATTCTGGAGGTCTATTGTGTATCATGCAATATAGTGAAAATTACAAAAGTGAACGAATTTACTAAAATATCTATGATCTTATTGGTCAACAACTAGTAAATTTGCTCACTTTTGTAATTTTCACTACATTGCATGGATACACAATCGACTCCCTAATGTAGTGTCAGTCTGCATAGCAAATGATAAATCATCCATTGAATTTTTTATATAGATAAATTTTATATATAGATATGAATTTTATATATAGATGAATTTTTTATATACATATATATGTGTATAATGTGTAAGTATAATAAGCAGTTTGTTGTTATTTATATTTACATTTTCAAAAATCAATGACAGTAGTTCATATAAGTTTTTTGAAATAATTGTTCTTTATATTGTGCAACGTGTTGTATTTTCTTGAATTACAAGAAAATTACGAACAGAGCCAACGAAAAAGTCATTTTGACATTTTTCGTGTGTTTTTTGTTAGAGCTTACTTTAGCTGTGTTCCAGAATTGCTGCCAGCACGCTGCCAGTGCTAAAATTGTATAATATATGTGACGTAAACTATAGATCTTTAGCGTTTAGTGAATTTTGGAACACAGCCTTTATGTGTAGATAATAATATTGTCAAAAAAGTTGCTCGCGCGAATCGGTTTGTCAAAGATGCAAAGATACAAAAATACGTAGTAGATACATGATGTAAATTTATACTAGGAGAACATCGTCATGTAAATTCCACGATTAATGCGAGGATGCGTAATGATAATAGTTACGCGCAAGTGATCCGAGCTATTTCAATAAGAATTTCTTGCAGCCTCGCCGTAAAAGATAGAAAAGACCGTGAGAAACAAGCGGAGCCGTAGAGGTATGCCGAGGAGGAATTAAAATTCATGTAACATACAGTGATATAGCCGCATCCGGTCTCGATTAAACGGTGTTTTTATCGCTACTGACTTACATGAGTCTTCACATACGTAATCATATCTGCTATGTAACTGTGCAGCGACTCTCGTCGACGATTAATCAACGTTAGAACGGAATTAATCATCGAGAATGCGAATACAACTGTGCAGGTTTATCTATATGTTAGATTATCGTCTATTTAAAGAGAGATTTCGGTCTAGAACGCATCGAAAAAACACGATGATTTTTCAAAAAAATTGTTTTTGAACAAATTTCCGATCCGCTAGATCCGGAATCTCTCTTTAAATTTTGTATTTTTTGTATCATATGTGAAAATGTGCGTTTTCTTTTTTTTCTATTTCAGAAGCCAATCCAAAGCTTCCTATTTGGCGTACAGACGAGAGCGCGGGGCTCCGGATAGCGAGGGCAGCTACAAGAGGACAATGTCGCCTACATCTCGAATGGACGATTGGCCGCCTCCCAGAGATCACGACGATCCCGTGCTCTTGCGCGTCACGCCGCATCATCCGTCGCAGCAACAACAGCATCATTATCATCATCATCATCATCATCATCACCACAACAATCATCAGCAGCATTCGGATCTCCCCAAGTCGCACAGCGTGGACGCTCTTCATCATCGGTTGGAGGAAAGATGTTCCCAGCAGCAACATTCGGCGGAGATGGTCGGTAAGCTCCCGCACGAGCTCAACAAGAAGTTTCAGACCGGCGACGTGAGATCCCGAAACGAGAACAATAACAACGACAATCTCGAGGACCGGCATCAGCACCATCACTACCAAGAGAAGAGGCATTCAGAGAAAAGATACGATTACGAGCAACGCAGGGAGAGACTGTCGCCGCAGAGCGTGGAAGTCCTTAACGACAGGAACAGGCAGCTGGAGCGAGAACGTCGAAAATTGGCAGCGAGCTGCGAGCCCCTACCTCAAAATAGAGAGGTGAGATTATTCTTTTTCTCGATGTTTGCGTGTTTCTTTTTTTTTTTTTTTTTTTTTTGCATAACGACAAACTGTAAATTGGGGGGTCTGGGGTTAGAGCAGTGCTCTTTCACGCGCCGCGAGATGCGATCCGATTCCGTAACATTTAATTTCTCACCGAGTTCACGTGACGTTATTTGGCGGGCTTTTCACGCCGTCATTCGCTT